ATATGCACTTTGTGGCGTGTGTACGTCGACGCCAAAAAGATTGCTCATGAAGTCCCCTGTTGGAGTTGTTGTTGATGGTGGTGTGTACATGAATTGTTCATGGTGTGTATGAAATGATGGATAAGACTGAGGATGTTGTTCCACACTATAAGGTGGGTGATTATCTCCAGCCATTGGGAATGTTGTTGCAGTTGTTGTTGGGAGTTGCGTACTAGAAGTGGATGCATGAGATGAAGAATACTGGCTACAAAGAAATAATTTAGAATTAGCACGAAACCATTGTAAATACTCTGAAGTGTGTTGGAGAGGCCCCTGAAGTGGTTCCCCAAAAATAACATGTTTGCGTCTGTCTTTCCAAATGGAAATCCAGTTTGCATGTTTTTTAGCCCAGTTGGTGTCACTATGTCCTCTCATGTCTATGTCGTGCATTTTATCAAGATTATGAGCTTCGTTGGGGATTGGTTGCCATAAGCCAAATTGCAATTGGACTACAACTGCGGCGGTGGATTTGGGGTCGGAGAGGTGCATGGCGGCGAGGACCATAGGGTTCAGGGGTTCCCTCGTCGCGTGGAGCCACGGCTTTGGCCTTTAACTGAGTGAGGTTAGGGTTAATGTTAGTGTTGGTGTTGTTGGTGAGACGAAACGACAGCGTTTTGAGGTGGTGGAGCGAAGCTTGGCATTCACTCCCGATCGGCGGTGCACATGCAGTGAGTGGAGCAGAGTGTGTGTGTTTTGTGGAGCATCAGCGCAATGTTATTCTTTATTGTTTATCTCTCTAACAACCAATTTGTGTGTGGGTCTCCATTTTTATTATTTTCCAATCATTTTTCTTTGCTTTTTGTTTTCTTCTTCGTCTCTCCAACGTCGACCTATTTGCCTATTCCTATCACTAAAGACAAAATTTAGTAGCACTCTTTTCCTATTTTGTTTGCTTCAAAATCCAACTAATTTTATTTTCGCCATGGATTCGTATACATATTAGACATCCATTTATTTTCCAAGTAATATTCAATCATTTATATTATATATTAAATTTTAATGATCTAACCCTTAAATTGGTCTTTTAATTTAAAAATAAGATTTCATTTAACATATTTTTATAATTAGAAAATACTTATTTTAAAATAAAATGTGCTTATACTCAATATAAAAATATTATGTTTTATGATAAAAATAATATTTATTTCTTAATTAGACATATGCATGTCATTTATTAAGAAGAAATAAAATATTTTATTGTAAAGAAAAATAATCAATGAGAAATGGATGGTTAAGTTGAGAGAGAGATACATATAAAGACATATGGAGAGTACCATGATAATGTCATTTTAATGTGAGAATAAAATTCCTCGATCTCAATCCTTAAATTGAAATAAACGACTTAGATTAAGATATTACAAATAAAGTTATAATGTATTGTCGCCAATATATAGTTGTTCTTATAATTATCATTGTCATTATTATCATTGAAACTTCTATCACTGTTGGTACCAATATCAATGTGATGGTAGCATGATGGGGGTGCAATGACAACGACAACAACTATAATGGTGGTGCTAATGTTGATGATAACAATGATAACAATAATGATGGTGTGACGACGATAACGATGGTGATAATAGTGGTGTAGGAATTTTCAATGGCAGTGATGGTGGCGATTTCAACGGTGGTGGAGATAGCAAAAGTGATGGAAACAATTATGATTGTGATGATATATGATAAGTTTCTTTGTAATTTTTTTTAATTTATGTCATTTATTTTAATATAAGGGTTGAAATTGAACATTATCATTCTATGAAAATGACAGTGTCATAGTACATGCTTCTTATACATATATACATATATATATATATATATATATATATATATATATACACACACATATAGAATTTTAACATAAAATAATAATTAAAAAATTACATTAATTAAGTTTCATCTAACTTCAATTTAAAATAGAGTAAGAATTGTATAAATATCAAGTAAATTATATACAAGGGAAACACGACCTACTGGAACTTTCACGGTTAGACTACATGACAACTGGTGTGACTGTGGAAAATTCCAAAAGCTACACATGCCATGCTCCCATGTTGTTGCTGCATGTAAGCATGTTCACCATGATTATAAATCTTACATAGACCCGGTATACACATTACAATATGTTTCAAATGTGTATAACGAATTATTTGGTGAACTGCCTAATGAATCTTATTGGCCGGATTGTGAAGAACCGCAAATCATACCAAATCCGGAAAACATTAGAAATAAAAAAGGTCGTCCAAAGTCATCCAGAATACGCACTGAAATGGATATGGTTGAACCAGGGCAACCAAGAAAGTGTTCTCTCTGCAGAAATGTAGGTCACTCAAAGAAGAAATGTCCTTATCGTCAAGGGAGTTCAAGTCACCAAGCTTAAAATGTCATCAAACCTTCCAAATATTGTATTTTGTTTACTATCATTTTAAATAAAAAATTTGTCTTTTTTTATTAATTTAAATTCATATTTATTTCATTATTTATTTATTTAATAATTATTTTATTATTTATTCTTATTCTAAAAACTTAACTAAATTATTTTATTTACAATTAACAAAAAAATTTAAAATAACTTAAAATATAAAACTGAAAAACTAAAAAAATAAAATTACAAATCTGGAAAAAAAAAATTAAAAATAAAAAAAAAACAAAAAACAAAACCAGAAAACGAAAAAAAAAAAGGGCCTTTGAGAAATCGGTTACCCAGCAACCGATTTCTCACCTAAAAAACTAAGTGGTATATTTAGGTAAATATATTTCACTTTGAGTTATTTAAATAAATAAATAAAAAACAGTATATTAAAAAAAAAAAGTCGAATAATGCACAGGATTGTTTTAAGAAAAACTGTTTGGAGTGCTTTACGCTCAATACAATTGAACCCAACGAAATATCTCATAATCCAAAGGCCCAAACGATCAGAAAAGGAGCATAATATATGGGTCAGATTCAGCATCTTTAGCCTAAACCCGTAGGTAGGACTATTTCTTGTGTCTCTTTCAGCTTTTGCCTCTGCTTCTACATTCCCATTACAACTATGATGATAGGCCATACCTTAATTAACTCTGTTTACTTTCTTGTTTTAGTTTTGGGTTTAATTTACTAATATTTCTAATGACATTGATGTGACAAATTTCAAATGATCATAATGTTATCTGAAATCTTTTTTGACACACCTTTTCTGTCCCAAGTCAACAGTAGTTTTAATGCAAGAGGAAAATCTTGTCCTTTAAATTTGTGGAAACCAACGCATTATTTAAACGATTTGAAATTAAAAATTTAAAAGAATTAATGCAGTATCGGAAATAACTTATTTTATTCCTTAAAAACAACTTTAAAAAAAAAAAAACAGGACACCATTTTATTAGTATAAAATGGTGAATTATTATTTTTAAAATCATCTTAAACAATTTTTTTATTATTTTATCAGAATAAAAAAATTAGATCCCTATTTTATTGGTAACTAATATTTGCTAAAAAATCTAACTAATTATTTTAAGGAAAATTCTCCTCCTACTTATACTTCTTTTCATTCACAAAATTCCAATATGAAACTTCCTTTAAGAATTTTGAATCAAGTTGTACTCAGACCAACATCATGAGAATAATTATTTGGATAAATTATTGTTAATCTATATTAATAATAAATGAGCTATTCTTTTGTTATACACATCTCTTAGATTATTTTGTTTCTATAACCACATTTTCTATTTCTTTATTTAATTCTTTTTTTTTTCTTTCTACTGTACTATAAATTTCTCTAGTAAACTTCTCACTTAAATTTCTCTTACTCTTTTAAATAATCACCTATTATATTATTTTTTATTTTAAAAAAAATAGAAACACATTATACCTCTTTCTCTTCTCTCTTGTGATAATAAATAGAGTAAAAAAATAGTTCTTATCGTGATTATACTAATTGGAGAGTCGAACTTGCTGTTCATATATTATATAAGACAAAAGATTATGATTATACCAATTTACACTCTTAAGTGACGATGATGTTTTACAGAGTCTTCCTACTTCAATTACCCATGACATTCAAACAAACATCCTTTGCAAACTTTATTGCATCCAAATGAGACATAGGCCCACAGATAATAGACTGCATAAGTGCATTGTTAGTTGTTACTTCCAAACTTCTTGAGAAAAAAATTACTTCGGGCCTCCCTTTTAAAAAATAGAGAAAATAGCAACTTTATCCTAATAGTTTGCATGATTATTAAAAATCATGTATAATTATTAAGAGTAAAATCGAGAAGATAAAAGTGAACACTAAATGAAATATATCCTTTTTGTTATTAGTATAGATAAATAATTCTGCAGGCTTTTGTTTTCTTCCGTAAATTAATTCTTTTAATTTGATGCAAAGGAATAATCTATCTTGCCACAACTTTAATCTTCATAAAGATAAATTTGTTGACGTTTCAATTATTTAAACGGTTAATTTGAAATTAAAAGTTTCAAAGAATTAATGCAGTAACAGAGATACCTAAACTAATTATAGTTACCTGTATATAAGACAAATGGATTTTTTTTTTTTTTTTTTTGGGTTCGTACATGGAATATTCACCGCCGATAGCAGTAACTAATCTCCTCGCTACGAGGGAGACACCTCAAAGGGTGGGATAGCAGTGACTAATCTCCTCGTTACGTTAGAAGCACCTCAAAGGATAGGATAGCTGACCCCAAGATTTAACGCAGCTGCATACACAAAGCAGGATTCGAACACCTGACCTTGCTTAAGCGTGGATCAACCTCTATCGCTGAACCACACACTTGGAGTTAAGACAAATGGATTATCATATTACACTCATTTACACTGTTAAATGACAATTACATTTAACAAGCATACCTCGCTAACTTAATGGCATACAAATCTGCCGTAGTCCCACAGACAACGGTTGCTTCGTTAATATCAAACTTCTACAGTTGCAAATATATAAATAAATAAATAAATAACAGCTGCGGAACAAAGTCACCCAATTTTCAACTTGGAGTCAACTGTGTGTGTTCTGGTTACATACAATTACATCTCTAGTTTGGTTCCTTATTCTAATGGCAGAAACAAAAGAACAGTAAAATCTGCAGGGGAACAAGTTACCCAATTCCAACATGGAATGATATGGGTTGGGTTTACACATAATTACATCTGTAGTTGAAGGGTATAAGGAATAATCTTCCCCTGTCAATATCTAGTTATTAACCATCTAAACTAACTACGTGATTACATAATGGTACAAATTTCACTATAATCAGTGAGTATGTGTTCCTAATACCATGGCCTAGATTCTAGTGAATACATGTATCATCATATTCTCTTGAAAAATTTACCACCTTTCTTTCCCATGATTATTCCTGCATCAGACGGGAAAAGATATTTTGTATCTGGCCTCCATTTCAACTCTTTGAGAGTAGAAAATAAGGTTGCCAATGCAGGAGAGATATCACTATCCTTTATATTTTTACATGAGACTACTCTAAGGCACTCTAGCTCCTTCCAGCTCTCAATTACGGACTCCAAACCTTCTGTTGTAAGCAATGAGCATCCTTCTACGTAAAACAATTTTACCCGCCTGAAAATACACCACCAACAACAACTGTAATGTAACGTACAAACAACCCAAGTATTTTGGCTTGGGCACCACATCCATATAACTTATCAACTAAGAATATCCATAATATAACCACCTTTAAACATGATAATAAATAATAAAGATATCAAAAATATGTTCTTAAATTCTGCAAGAAACCACATCATCCGTTTTTAATATCACAAAAAGGGAAAAAGTTCAAAATAAGCTCTAAAACGTCGACCAGACCAAAACCAGAAGTTATAATTACTTATTTTCAATTTCATCAACTTTTAGGTTTCTCTCTACACCTGCAAACCAGATAAACAATGCATACGATGCTAGGAAACAATTAAACACCTACACACCACAAAAATTTCATGAATTTGACTTTATTGAAGTGAAAAATAAAATGCTTAAAGTACGATAATGAAGATACACCCGTCCTTAATTTAAAACTGGCCGAGTTCAGTTAACAACATATTATAATTCAATAATTCGAATATATCTTTATGAGTCTAATTTGTCTTGCACTAATCAGAATTCACTCCAAATATGAAATTTGAAAGCAATTATTATAAAAACAAAAAAAAAAAATTACACATACACCACAATCCATAATTAGATGATAGTGTAAAACGCTATTATTATTCTCAAATTCAAATCAACATGGATATATTTTTATGAGCTTAATTTTAACACTCTGACAAGTGTCAATACAAAGACTTTACCCTCTCAACCAATTAGAAATCACCATAAATACAAATTTCAAAGTAAATATTACAAATATCAACAATCTTCCTATAAACCACAATCTATAATTAGATGACGGAACAAAAAACTTTATACTGATAGTGCATTATGATTAAATCCTAATTTCATTTTCTAATACCACACATTTTTCTCTCTTTCATTTCACAAGAAACAACCCCAAATTTCAGAATGGACCAACTCTAATTGCACATTCATAAATTCAAAATCAATGATAAAATTATGCCAAAAAAAAAAAACCAAAACTTAAACCCAATTCTTCAAGTGTTTAAGATTGTTTCTCAATCAGAATTGAAGTTTCACCCCAGTAAACCTGGTACCCTACATTGACATTTATCACACAATCTATCTACCGAGATAAAACTTCAACGTCAATTCCGATAAGAAAAATCAACAAGAAAAGCATCCAAGAGACTGAATCCAAGTTAAAAGAAGTTGCCACACTACATTACCTGCAAATAACTGCCAAACTGAAAGTGCCATCATCCAATCCCCAGCAATCCTGAAGAACAATCTCCCTAGCATTCCTACACACCGAAAACAAGGCGGCGACGCTATTCCTATCTCTCAATTGACACTTGTGCAAGTGGAGCCTCTCAAGGGTCTCACAGCACCCCAAATGCTCCTCCAACCCAGGGTTCCCATCAATCACCCTACACGACTGAATCCTCAATCACCCCAGTAAACCTGGTACCCTACATTGACATTTATCACACAATCTATCTACCGAGATAAAACTTCAACGTCAATTCCGATAAGAAAAATCAACAAGAAAAGCATCCAAGAGACTGAATCCAAGTTAAAAGAAGTTGCCACACTACATTACCTGCAAATAACTGCCAAACTGAAAGTGCCATCATCCAATCCCCAGCAATCCTGAAGAACAATCTCCCTAGCATTCCTACACACCGAAAACAAGGCGGCGACGCTATTCCTATCTCTCAATTGACACTTGTGCAAGTGGAGCCTCTCAAGGGTCTCACAGCACCCCAAATGCTCCTCCAACCCAGGGTTCCCATCAATCACCCTCCACGACTGAATCCTCAAGGTCTTCAAATTCTCACAAAACGAAACCCCCGCGAGCCACCCATCATCCATCCTATGCTCCACAACGACCAACTCCTCCAACATCACACAGCACTGCCCAATCGCCTTCACCCCATCAAAGCTCCCCTCGCACCCAACGAGCTCCAGCTTCACCAGCCTCCGACACCCCTGGGCCAGAATCGTGAGCCCAATGTCCGAAACCACGCTCTCATAGAACCCCTTCACGCACCCCACGAGCCTCACAATCTGCAAATTCCGGCACGCCGCGACGCCGCGCAGGACGGCGTCGTCGCAGCGCTGCAGCTCGAGCTCCTGCAGGGTGGCGCACTCGGCGCCGACGGTGAAAAGGCCGGCCTCGCTGGCGCCGGCGACCGCGAGGGAGCGCAAATTGGGGCAGCCGGCGGCGAGGGTTTTGAGGCCGGCGTCGACCGCCTGGGGCGGTAGCAGGTTGTGGTGGCCGAAAAGCGAGGCGGAATCGACGTGCATCGAGACGAGTCGGTGGCTGAGGACAATGCTGGAGTTTTTGGGGGAAGAGAAGGCGGCGGGGACCAAATTGACGTGCGTGAGGTTGGGGAATCGGTGGGTTAACCGAGCGGAGAGGATGAAGTTCCAATCCAGGACCTTTAGGGTTGGAACCAAGCGACCCTGGAGGCTGAGCCAGCGCTTGCAGACCAGGGAGTTGGCGTTTCGCTGCGAATCCGGATGCTTCGAGAAGATTCGGAGGAGAAGCTCGTCCGAGAGGAGGAGCGTGCGGTCGGCGGTGGATTTGGGGTCGGAGAGGTGCATGGCGGCGAGGACCATAGGGTTCAGGGGTTCCCTCGTCGCGTGGAGCCACGGCTTTGGCCTTTAACTGAGTGAGGTTAGGGTTAATGTTAGTGTTGGTGTTGTTGGTGAGACGAAACGACAGCGTTTTGAGGTGGTGGAGCGAAGCTTGGCATTCACTCCCGATCGGCGGTGCACATGCAGTGAGTGGAGCAGAGTGTGTGTGTTTTGTGGAGCATCAGCGCAATGTTATTCTTTATTGTTTATCTCTCTAACAACCAATTTGTGTGTGGGTCTCCATTTTTATTATTTTCCAATCATTTTTCTTTGCTTTTTGTTTTCTTCTTCGTCTCTCCAACGTCGACCTATTTGCCTATTCCTATCACTAAAGACAAAATTTAGTAGCACTCTTTTCCTATTTTGTTTGCTTCAAAATCCAACTAATTTTATTTTCGCCATGGATTCGTATACATATTAGACATCCATTTATTTTCCAAGTAATATTCAATCATTTATATTATATATTAAATTTTAATGATCTAACCCTTAAATTGGTCTTTTAATTTAAAAATAAGATTTCATTTAACATATTTTTATAATTAGAAAATACTTATTTTAAAATAAAATGTGCTTATACTCAATATAAAAATATTATGTTTTATGATAAAAATAATATTTATTTCTTAATTAGACATATGCATGTCATTTATTAAGAAGAAATAAAATATTTTATTGTAAAGAAAAATAATCAATGAGAAATGGATGGTTAAGTTGAGAGAGAGATACATATAAAGACATATGGAGAGTACCATGATAATGTCATTTTAATGTGAGAATAAAATTCCTCGATCTCAATCCTTAAATTGAAATAAACGACTTAGATTAAGATATTACAAATAAAGTTATAATGTATTGTCGCCAATATATAGTTGTTCTTATAATTATCATTGTCATTATTATCATTGAAACTTCTATCACTGTTGGTACCAATATCAATGTGATGGTAGCATGATGGGGGTGCAATGACAACGACAACAACTATAATGGTGGTGCTAATGTTGATGATAACAATGATAACAATAATGATGGTGTGACGACGATAACGATGGTGATAATAGTGGTGTAGGAATTTTCAATGGCAGTGATGGTGGCGATTTCAACGGTGGTGGAGATAGCAAAAGTGATGGAAACAATTATGATTGTGATGATATATGATAAGTTTCTTTGTAATTTTTTTTAATTTATGTCATTTATTTTAATATAAGGGTTGAAATTGAACATTATCATTCTATGAAAATGACAGTGTCATAGTACATGCTTCTTATACATATATACATATATATATATATATATATATATATATATATATACACACACATATAGAATTTTAACATAAAATAATAATTAAAAAATTACATTAATTAAGTTTCATCTAACTTCAATTTAAAATAGAGTAAGAATTGTATAAATATCAAGTAAATTATATATAAAGAAGTAAATTAAATTTTTAGAAATTTAAAGTAAAGACGAGTACGGGTACAAGGAGGGTAAATATATACCCATCTTCATCCTCGTACCCGATTTAATAAATCGAGTATTACCTGTACTTATACCCGGTCAAATTGGGTATTCTTCCTCAAAGTTGGTGG